TAATATAATATAATATAATATAATATAATATAATATAATATAATATAATATAATATAATATAATATAATATAATATAATATAATATAATATAATATAATATAATATAATATAATATAATATAATATAATATAATATAATATAATATAATATAATATAATATAATATAATATAATATAATATAATATAATATAATATAATATAATATAATATAATATAATATAATATAATATAATATAATATAATATAATATAATATAATATAATATAATATAATATAATATAATATAATATAATATAATATAATATAATATAATATAATATAATATAATATAATATAATATAATATAATATAATATAATATAATATAATATAATATAATATAATATAATATAATATAATATAATATAATATAATATAATATAATATAATATAATATAATATAATATAATATAATATAATATAATATAATATAATATAATATAATATAATATAATATAATATAATATAATATAATATAATATAATATAATATAATATAATATAATATAATATAATATAATATAATATAATATAATATAATATAATATAATATAATATAATATAATATAATATAATATAATATAATATAATATAATATAATATAATATAATATAATATAATATAATATAATATAATATAATATAATATAATATAATATAATTATAATATAATATTGCATAATATTGTTATAATATTGTATAATATTGTTACATTTTCTTTCTTAAAAATTGACAACGACAGTGGTCCCTTAACTAAATTTCGAATTTCAGAAATTCTTCGTTTGTTTACTGAATGGAAAGCCATTGAGGAAGAGGCAGTATTAATTTGACATAATATTACTCGAATTACTGTAATTGCTGTAGCTTATTTTACATATAAATTATGTATATACGGGGTGTCCCGAAAATGCCTCGCAATCCGGAAATAGGAGGTTCCTGAGGCAATTCGAAGTAACATTTTTCTTACTAGATTTTTTCTAAAGTACATTAAATAAAAATTCGAAAGTTAAGCGGTATTAATTACGTTCTTACCAATCAAATTAAGAAGATACAATAGATCAGCGTGAAAATGAATTTTCACATCTGCGCAAATTATTCTGTCATCCACATGAGGATGACCCGGCACTCGGCGTGCCAAGGGGTTAACCATAGCGCCCGGTCGTCGTTTTTCGTGACGCCCGGAGAGAATCAGGAAAGGTGAATCACCTGCGGCGGGGATGGCCAAGAACCTCGGATCCTTTGCGAACCGAAATCTTGAATATAAAAGCACGACGTTCGGGCCCGTCGATAATGTTCGGCCGTTCGAAAATTTACATACGGTTAGCCTAAATTTTCACTCGGGCTACTCGCCCGTCCAGTATTCCGTATAAATATAGATGTGACGCTGAATCGAAGACTTGTGTGAAAGTGTACGCCGCCTTGGTAGGAAGTGTATTGTCTACCGATTGAACCCGCTGGCTTCTTATATTCAGTGGCCGGCGCGCGGCTTAGTTACAAACTACTATCGTGTGCAACCGGGGAAGAATCATAGTGTTCTCGGTGATAATGTGGATTCGCTCGTTAGTTTGCATGCTCGTCCTGGCCGCGGTGGCGCGTAGCATCAATTGCGAGGCAGTAAGTAACTGTTTCGGCACCGCTATCCTCGCTGACACTCGCTTCTTCGCTATCGCACCGCCTCCATCGAATCGTTCATTTTATAAAATGATATATATGTATAATAATAACATATATATATAATAACATATATAATAATATACATATATATATATTATATATGTATAATAATAATAACTTATATGTATAAATTTATATATATATAAATATATATATTTATGGGACCGACAATATTGCCGCGGTGGTTTATCTGCTTGCAAATTTTGTAACATCTACGCAATTATTTTCTCTAACTAAATGCACATTCTATTCGGAATAATAATAGCTTGAGTTGCACTTGTTTAGTATTTTTGTAACGTAAAGTCGTTCTTATAAGACACTTCTGCGGCGGCTTATTTTCTGGATCGTCGGAGGAAATTTGAAGTCTTTCAAACTTTTTCTGGAAAACGTGAAATGACAGTCGAATGATCTTTCGTCTAACGCAGCGGAAAGATAAAGCGACGATGGCTAATTTGTAGAAATTGAGATTACGGAACGAAGTCGAAAATTCGCAATGAACAAATATTTTTACAGTAATTTTTAGTATCTTTATATTATATCGTTGTTAACGATCGCTGCTTTTGTGAATGTATTTGTATAAAATCGTCTGATTAGAAATAAGCGTTCTAAATGTTTAATCAAATGATTATCTTTCCTTATTGATATTTCTTTTTTCTATCAAATTTCACTAAAGAGATTAGTTATCCAACGAAGTCTGTACAATTTATTAAACAAATACAGGCATTAATAATTCGTTGTCTCTCGAGATAAGATTTTCTTATAAATCTTCCGCAGCACTTCCCTCGTTTGCTACTAATTAAACTAATTTACTAACTTAGTTTATCCTCTTCGCTCGTTCTTCACGCTCGCGTTCACTTAATTAAATATTGTTTTATTAAAAATATATATTTATTGTAGGATGCACAACCAGCAGCAGTTGCGGACAATCAGAATGTTACCTTGAATGGTACATTGGCTGACGCGACGTCAGTGGACGACAAAAATTTTTGGGAATGGCTATATGGTATCATAGGTGCGCCGGTGCTGACAACAACTCAATCTCCGCCGCCAATGAACGAGATTAAAAAATGCATGCCTTGCCGTAAGATAAATCGTTTCTCGTACTAATTCAAACTTTAATTTTCACATCAATTCGTTCTTAATTTCTTCGAGCCGAAATTGAAAAGAAAGAATTATACATAACGTTTATAGAGGACGTATTCTGGTTCTTAAGCTTCGACGAATTCATTCTTTTGCATCTTTTTTTTAAATATAAGTGTTTCTAGTTGATCGTTCGACTCGAAGCTTATAGAGCATCTTCGGCAAATGTCCTTTCGTCACGCGAACAAAAATGTTTCGCATCCGTCGGTTTTTCGCACCTTTTTAACACTAGATTGCCGGAGCGTGTCAATTTGATTCATTTACGACTTTATTGCTAACTTAAATAATTTTTTTTATATATATAAAACATATGTTTTAAAAAAAGTTAATAAAATGGTGAAATAAAATCGTAAATGAGTCAAATTGACTCGCTCCAGCAATTTAGCGTTACCAAAAAATATTGGAAAAACCGTTAATTTCAATTAAAAATATTGCCATTTTGTGAACAATCCAGATTTCTATGTTATCTTGGTTTAGATCGTAGCCAGATTTATACTAAACAAGAAGAATCGTCGTTTTTTCTTTGCTATAGATCATCCCGAAATTATGCCAACGCAATTTTGCTAAAGTACTCTCGATAAATCAGGATACAACTCACTTAATTCAAAATAATTTATTGTGTGTATACCCATAAATGTCCGCGCCGAAATCTAACGCAAAAAGATTAATAGTTCTTTAGAAGGAAATTCCTAAAATGTAAAAGAAACGAAAGAAAGTCCTGAGAAATGGCGTTTAAAACCAGAATTTTTGAGACAACGTTTCATGTTGTTCCACAGAATGCGGGTTGACAAATACACAAAGGCGTATAGTGGGCGGCACGGAGACAAAAGTGAATCAATATCCATGGATGGTCTTGATGATGTTTAGAGGACGATTCTACTGCGGTGGATCGGTTATAAATTCCCGCTATGTAGTAACTGCCGCACACTGCGTTGACAGGTGACTCGACTTCCCGTTTTAAATCGATTATCCTTTCAGAGCATCGTTGTTTCGCGCAACGCGATTCGAAACTAACCGAACGTCATCCGAAATCAATTTTATTGGAAGAATTTGGATAGTCTCTTGCAATCCACTCGAATATTGCGTACCCAAAAGTGTTAAATACTATTTAAACTAATTAAACTAACTATTATATACTATTTATAATATATATTATATACTACGTATATACTACTTAATTAAACTAATTATTTAAATTAATAATATGATTATTATAAGCGGTAACATTGTTGTTATTATTATTATTATTGTTATTATTATTATTATTGCTATTATTATTATTGTTATTGTTATTATTATTATTATTATTATTACTTATTGTATCAGGTGATAGTACTAGTAATGCCAGCGGTACAAATAGAAAAACAGATAATTATTATTCAGTGCTAATTGTAAATGATTCTTTTATAGAATCGTTATACGATAGTACAAAATATATTTATTGAATTAATTCGGTTATTTCTATTATCGACCAGGTTTGACCCGAGTCTCATGTCGGTTCGAATATTGGAGCACAATCAGAACTCCACCACAGAAGCCGAGACGCAAACGTTTAAGGTCGAGAGCGTGATGAAACACAGTGGTTATTCAACGTACAACTACAACAACGACATCGCGTTGGTCAGATTAACCGAGCCCATTGATTTTAAGGGAAACATGAGGCCTGTATGCCTGCCAGAAAGAGGTAAAACAATAGTTAATATAATAGTTAACCATTAATTATAATTATTAACTATTAATATAATAGTTAATAATAATTAAAAAAAATGCATTTTGTAGATCACGGTAACTTGTACGCATGCTGAAAATGTTCATCAAGTTACCGTGATCTACAAAATGCATTTTTTAAATTTTCGTTACGGGCTCACATAAAAAAGTTAAAAGAAACATCATTCTTTCATTTCTTTATCGTTCCATTCAATTGCAATCTAAAAAACTTTCGTCTGCTCATTTCAAAGGAAACTGGTCGGTCTAACATCTCAAAAAATATTCAAGTGTCCTTTGAACCAATTTAAAAAAAGATTATTCCGTTTGAAGACGCGTTAACGTGCTCTCCGAGGCGACTGTAATTGAAGTCATTGATAAGACACATATAATTGAAGATGTTATAAAGTTTTCGGTCAATTCCAGAGAAATCTTTCGCCGGCGCGACCGGTGTGGTGACCGGATGGGGCGCGATCCAAGAATCCGGCCCGACGTCCCAAACTCTTCAGGAGGTCATGGTGCCGATTTTATCGAACAACGAATGTCGCAATACTAAATATCCGGCGCGAAGGATCACGGACAACATGCTCTGTGCTGGTTACAAAGAGGGAAGCAAGGATTCGTGTCAGGTAATCAACAACGAACTGGACCAGAATGATCTTTACTTCAATCCACAGAAATCCCATGTATTCGCTATAACATTATTGTACATTTTATATTATAATACCACATACACACACACGCACACATACGCGCACGCGCATACACACATGTGCATTGTTTTTGTACACAGAACCTTGACGTTTAACGTCTTCTCGACTTTATGCTCTAATTTTGCCCCATTAGGGTGACAGCGGTGGTCCATTACACATCGCCAACGACAACAACTATCATTTAGTCGGTGAGTTCTATGTTCTACCGATTGACTGTTAACCCTTCCGCTACGTCGATCTTCCTCCGAAAGTAACCATTTTTCGTGCTATTAAAATAAGTTTACCAAACGGTCGTATGTTATATTATTCGCCTCTGTTCAGTCGCATAAATTAAGGGACGTCGTTCTTTCATTGTACCCTTAATTTCAATATTTATTTATTACACGTAGAAGCATGAGTTTCCGAATAAACGACGAATTCTTTTAGTTTCGCGAAAACATTTTCTGGGTAAAATAGGTTCAGGGTTGAACTTTCAGAAACTGATACTGTAGCAAAATTGTCATCAACCCTGGAACGGTCGCGTGGGGTGTTCGACACCTCAGTCGTTTCTTTTATATTTGACGTTTCTTTATTTTTTTTATTGAAATGTTAAACGGTGTCACCTAGCTGCCAACAGCTGCCAATCAGCTTTTAATTAAGAGTCACAATAACGCGATTTTATCCTCGCCACAACGCATAGATTTTGCAGTAAAATTATAGAGCAAAGTATGCGTTTCGCACTTAACGACCTGACGAGATCGTTGCTGTCTTCAGCCGAAGGGTTAACAATAAACACTGATCTACACGCTGATAATAAGCACACGATGTTCGCAGGAGTCGTGTCCTGGGGCGAAGGTTGCGCGAGACCCGGTTATCCAGGCGTTTACACCAGAGTGAACCGGTACCTGACATGGATCAGCCGCAACACTATGGATGCTTGCTATTGTTGATTCGATATGCGCCAAGGAAGTGAACTTTTACGACTGGCACAATGCTCGGTCGTCCTGACGCTGCCGGGATGCGGTTTACCGTACATCCGCCGTGTCGCGGATCATTTAAATCCGTAAGCTTAAAACACTCGAGGACTACTGAAAATATACTCTCTAAAGGTTATGCTCACACAGATGCAGTGAAATATCTTGGTTCGTTAAGTCATTGTTAGGTGCTGGAAATTTATGCAGGTGCTAGATGCGAAACATAATAAATACGGAAGATATTTACTTTATAACGAGTAAATTCTCCCTAATTGACGCTCGGCTTGGAAGCAAAAATGGACAATTTGGGAAAAGGCGGTACGATTATTCCCAAATTGTCTATTTTTGTTTAGAGAGACAATTGGAGAGAATTTACTGTATTCTAAATTTTCCGCGTACAACAAAATCTCTCTAATTGTCCTTCAAATTGTAAACAAAGATGGACAATTTAGGAAGAGGTTGACAATCGGTAATTATAAAAACGAGCCGCGAGGCTCGAATAATCGTATCTCCTCTTCCCAAATCGGCCATTTTTGTGCGTAATCCGAGCGTCAATTAAGGAGAATTTACTGTACACGGTCACGTTTTTCTCTTCTTTATGCGAGTCAGAACATAGAATTAGAAATCGCGATACCGTAGACTTAGCAAAATGATTAGCTAGTTTTACAGTAAATACTTTTTAATGGTTATTTAATTGTCTGAACTGTTAAGCTAATTTCCAGATAAATTCTGCGCGTGCAAGAAATATGCCGAATAGACAGAACACGCAGTGATATGCAAATTGTGCAACATATTATGAAAAACATGCAAATAACACTTCTGAGATCCTTCGATCGGGATTGTTTAATCTGTGCCGGCAAAAACATGCATATGCATAAACTTCCTAGTTATCAAACGATACGAGCAAACGCGACAGAGGAGAACGTCTACGTATTTAACATAATCGCGTCTCCTTAATTATTTATTTTATACTGGGTCAACGAGTTTCATCAAACACGGCCGAGTAAAAGTTTGCGTACACGTGAAAAGTTTAAGAACGTTCGAGAGAAACGAATGTTTCGCAACGGAACTTGTTGTAAAGACGATTCCACTTTATTCTTATTAACGGAGTTTCTTTCATTTCGATATATACGCGCCAAGGGCAGAACGTCAAACTTTTGCGCGCGGCTGCTTTTCGCTTATTTATATTTTCCGCGAGCAAATGTTACGAAGCGAGAACGGTATCCGAAATTTGACACGTGCACGTAGACTTTTATGGTTGCGCCGCCGCCAAGCCCGACAAAATGGCGTTTTCGACGGGCGTTGATGGGACACGACACACACACGAGCGACGAAACAATTGAAAATTAAGGCACGTACTCCGAGGCAAGGCTCGTAACATCGAGCATATGAGAAAGAAAGTCCCCTGGAACTTTCTCTGTTCCGACTTGGAATTTCGGTGAAAACTCACGTACCTTCTACGACGCATACGCGCGGCTCCGATCGGGCCAATTGGCCCGTGCATGATATATCATTTACCGTTTACACCGCAGACACTGTAACGAGGTGTCGATTACTCGACTGTCTGTAGAGGTAAGATGAATGACCCTTCTAGCGATCGCGTTCCCATTATCGATCAACTTCTCTGTTTCGAGTTCGAAACTGCTAGCGAACATCTCGGCTAGTAATTCACTTATTACTGGTCATAATTACTGTTCATTTATTTATGGATGAAGAATGAAACAGATATGAATTTTTTCTTTCCATGATTTTAATAAGTTGAACAAAAAAGTATTCTTGTTGTAAAAATATTCTTAACGATGCAACTACCGAGTCAGTCGAAAGCACTGATCTCTGATATTCTGTTGAAGTTATTGAATTTATAAAAATGTTTTTTTTTGAAAAAGAAAACTTTTGCTAGATTTTATTATAATATAAATTACAAGTACGAAGTTCGAATGAATGCAATCTTGTCATTGTTACGAAACAATTGTATCTTCGTAGCGTTTAGGATTAAAGTCTCTTAGGGTTAAAGTCTTCTAATCTCGTCACAGTTTTGCATTTCGCCTATTCACTTCTGTCGTTAACGTATAAAATTCGCTGTCTAGCCATTGCATCCAGTAATAAATTGTTTTGATGTTATAAGAGCTATTTATTTTGTAAGAAAACTTACATATTGATTTTTTCTGCTATTTGAGTAACAAAAAGACAATGTTAAGGTTATATTATATATTATAATATATTATATATATATATTATTATATTATATATATATTACAATATATATATTATATATATATTATATATATTATATATATATTATATATATATTATTATATTATATATATATTATAATATATTATATATATATTATATATATATATTATATTATATTATATATTATAATTAACCTTAACATTACGGATTGCACAAACAGATAAAAGATATACGAATTCTAATAGAAGAGTCTAACAATATCGATAATTAATATTCGCTGAAGATATTCCATATATTATCAACAAAGGGTCATTCACCTTAACTCGATTTCGATATATGCGAACCGTTTGAATATCAAATTTATTTCAACGATATTCAAGGTCTTGTGCGAACGTTAGACGACTAATTTGCATTATAAAATGTTCTGCACCCATATCTACGACACGCAGAGAAAAATATTCTGCGAAATTCTGCGTTCGTTCCGAAATCACTGAAACATTTATACTAGCAGAATACGTACTCGTTACTTCTGTTAAATATTACACGTTATTTCGAGAGAACCATTATGAGGTAATCCGAGTTCAGATAGTACCGCAACATTATGGAAATCAGAACGGGTTGTTATTTAACGGTCGTGACACATTTGCGAGATTGCGAGCACGTTCTGTTGGCTACGCGGCGTAACGATAGCGCTTACAACGGTAATCACAAGCTATTTATTATGTCACTAAAATGACAAACATTTAGAGGGTAAATGAAAAACAGGGAGGAGAGATTGCCAGAGTTATCTGTTCGATATTTATAGCGCGCGTTTAAATAAATTTATAGAAACTGCGAGAAAACTGTGTTCGAATACTTATTTCGTAAGCGTGATGTTCTCCAAACATGATTTAATCGTATCTCGCGCCCGCTGAAACGATCTGTTCACCTGACAAGAAAATATTGCTGCGTTTGATCGCGAGTAGGATGCGAACTACTCGACCGTTCAATTGTTAAAGCGTGAAACAATGCGAGCAGTTTTTAAACACGGGCGTACGCCACGCGCTAGACGTCGGTGACAAGAAGTCCTTCGGGCTTGGTCGCTTCTTCTACCGTCGGTTCAACGTTCGTCTTCGTTTTTTCGCATAACCAATACGTCTCCATGTTCCCCTTTCCCTACGGTTTAACATTAAATTCAGCATCTTTGCGTTCCGCGACCAAGGATCTGAGAATCCGATTTCTTGCGGTACGAACCTTGACACAAACTACTCCGCGCGAGTCAATGCGGTAGCGATCTTCGACTAACAGTGCTTTGGTGTCCGCCGAGATGTGAACCTTCCCCGGCTGTGTTACAAAATTTATGAGCACGATACAATTTAAATGGTAATTAACCCCTTGCCGTACCGTTTCCTTCGCCGTTACAACGAGTAGAGGATTTCAGTTGTAATTATTTTTTAGAAGAGAAAGAATATATGCTATTTATCGCGTGCCTGCGTTTACTGGAATGATCAAATATTGATGACAAGAAAACAGAATTAAATTCTGATTTGAAAGAATGATGCCAAGAGAACAACATTAAATAACGACTTAAAAGAACGGTGAGAAGAGAAGAGAATTAAATTCCGACATAAAAGGATGACGATGTTGAGAGAACAGAATACAATTCCGACATAAAAGAATGATGCCAAAAGAACAGAATTAAATTCTGATTTTAAAGAATGATGCCAAGAGAATAACAATAAATAATGACTTAAAAGAACGGTGAGAAGAGAAGAGAATTAAATTCCGACATAAAAGGATGACGATGTTGAGAGAACAGAATACAATTCCGACATAAAAGAATGATGCCAAAAGAACAGAATTAAATTCTGATTTTAAAGAATGATGCCAAGAGAATAACAATAAATAATGACTTAAAAGAACGGTGAGAAGAGAAGAGAATTAAATTCCGACATAAAAGGATGACGATGTTGAGAGAACAGAATACAATTCCGACATAAAAGAATGATGCCAAAAGAACAGAATTAAATTCTGATTTTAAAGAATGATGCCAAGAGAACAACATTAAATAATGACTTAAAAGAACGGTGAGAAGAGAAGAGAATTAAATTCCGACATAAAAGGATGACGATGTTGAGAGAACAGAATACAATTCCGACATAAAAGAATGATGCCAAAAGAACAGAATTAAATTCTGATTTTAAAGAATGATGCCAAGAGAATAACAATAAATAATGACTTAAAAGAACGGTGAGAAGAGAAGAGAATTAAATTCCGACATAAAAGGATGACGATGTTGAGAGAACAGAATACAATTCCGACATAAAAGAATGATGCCAAAAGAACAGAATTAAATTCTGATTTTAAAGAATGATGCCAAGAGAATAACAATAAATAATGACTTAAAAGAACGGTGAGAAGAGAAGAGAATTAAATTCCGACATAAAAGGATGACGATGTTGAGAGAACAGAATACAATTCCGACATAAAAGAATGATGCCAAAAGAACAGAATTAAATTCTGATTTTAAAGAATGATGCCAAGAGAATAACAATAAATAATGACTTAAAAGAACGGTGAGAAGAGAACAGAATTAAATTCTGACATAAAAGACTGATGATGAGAGAATAGAATAAAATTTCGTCTTAAAAGAATGATGCCGAGAGAACAACACTAAATAACAACTTAAAAGTATGATGAAAAGAGAACAGAATGAAATTCTAACATGAAAGAATGATGGCGAGAGAACAGAATAAAATATCGACTTAACACGTTGAATGCCACGCCGGTTTTACAGAAATTATTCGTGGCGCCACGATGAATTTTCTTTTATGCGATACGTATAATGTTGAAATATTATCTGCGATAGATAAGTTACAGTGTATAACCATGTTTGACATGTTAATTGCGACAAGGGTCACTGTTTGAATTGACGATGGTAATAATACAAAATTTTAGATATTGACATTTATTTCAAATTATATATATTCCTATCAATTTGGGCGCGCCGGTCACCGGTGGCCCCCATGGCGTCACCGCCAAGTTAATTGCCGGTCACCGGTGACCCCCGTGGCATTCAACGTGTTAAAAGAACGATGAAAAGAGAACAGAATGAAATTCTGACATAAAAGGATGATGGCGAGAAACAAGTATAAAATTCCGACATAAAAGAACGGAATTACGTTCATAATTAACAGATTATTATTAGAATTCTCCATCACGAGACAGACTCGTCGAAGTACGGCATGAGGTTGAAATAGTTGACGAACTTTTTGGGTATCCGAGTGCACCGTTCCGACAGGTAGTTTATTTATCAAAATAACGTAAAAGTGAACTCACGAGACTAGTTGACTGCATCCTCGAAGCAGTATTTACAGTGTCCCCGAAGAAGCAATATCTCGGCACTTTGATGCCAACAACACCTGCCACAGCTGGCCCCGAATGAATTCCTAGGGAAGTAGAACACGTTTGTACGCGACTGCGTTCGACTTGTATCGGACCTCCAATATTTTCGTGAACGATATTTTTCACCGACTCGAATAATGTTTACTGTCACCGTTTTCGAAAGCATGTAACATTCATTGCACTCGTGACACAAAGAAGTAGAACATTTTGAATTGCGAAGGGAAACTGTCCTCCAAATAACGATAAATAGAAACAGAAGGCTTTTAACCATCTGCGAACGAATGTCAACATATAGTGGCCATAACAAAATATAGCTTATTCCAGAAGTTGCAAGCATATAACTTTATTATATTGAAAGTGGCCTAAGTCCATTTATTTTTAAATCCAGATATTTAAGGATTTTATGTTTTAATAAATTAAAAAATATTGGTAGTATACACGGTAGTATAATATTTTTGCGTTTCAGAGGCTTTGCTATAATGAAATTATACAGGTAAATTCTACAAGTAAAAATAAGACTCAAATGTAATATGATAAAAAGTCCATAAATGCTTTGTTAAGAATTTCTGATAAAAATACAAAGTATGATTTAAACGCTGCTAGATATACTTATAGTCCTCGCGCGACAAAAAGGCACCTTTGTGCCTACATTCCCCCTCTTACCAGCTGCCCCACTCCCGCAACTATCGGTCGCTATTGATCGCCGTCGATCTTCGTCACCGTCTTCGGTCAATAGCGACCGATATCCGCGGCTGTGGGGCAGCTAGTAAAAGGGAACAAAGGTGCTTTCTCGTCGCGTGGGGACTGTATATCTCCATTTCAAAGTGACGGGAATATTGTCTAATAACTCGACGAGTTATTGAATCTATCGTTGATTTCAGTTGCTTGTGATTTTGTCTAATTAATTATGGACTTTCTGTTATATAACATTCTAGTCTTATTTCAACTTGTAGAACACACATTCGAAGTATGTTTGGAAAAATGCGGGACACTCTATATATAACGTAAAAATGTGAACATTAAAATAAGTAGCTTGATGTTTTTGGAAAATGGACTCAGGCCACTTTTAAAATAAGTGGCTCTTGTACATAACAAAAGATCAGAATATATTGTTAATTTTCCCGTTATTAAATTCTTCGACATACAGACTAGTTTTTTGAGGAAGATGTCCTTAGTATCAGGTCATCGATATAATAAGTTCGTACCGCGAATATAAACGAATATTTAAACTTTTCACGATACATTTTGTAAACGCAGAAGTGCAAATGATCGAAGGAAAAGAGATTGAATGATCGAGTCCAGTCTCGAGAATGTATTCGAGAAGGAAAATTAGAAAGAAAAGCATTCCATCTTACGTTGTACGAGTTTCGTAAAGGGAATACAGCAACAGTTGTCAGAAACGATATTTATGTTGCACGTGGAGGAGAAATGATTCGACTGGTATCGCAAAGGAAATTTTAACGTTGAAGATCAAACACGTTCCGGATGTCCAGCTGAATAACGCGAACAACGTTGAATTTATCGATTTAAGCGATGCCTGAAACTTTCAACATCCCAGGCTTGTCTGTTCGCGGATACTCGAGGAAAATGGGAATAGCAAATGGCACGAACTTATGGAACGACCTGAAACTTCCGTCCAAATTTCCGTCCGCAAAGTATTCGTGTATGTCATGTGCAAAATTACCTATTCGAATATGTATATCGAGACCGGAGGGCAATTTTAGCGATTGTACATGCTTTATCAGTTGCAACGAGACGTCCGCGATGTTCTGTGCATGACATTCGGTCCTATCCGGAGCGCCACTGGCCGCCATGTAAATTCGACCAACCGTTTCTACCTGTTGAAATTTGTAAAAATAGAATAAATACGCCATGGACTTGTAAGTACCCTGCGGACTGACCTTGTACACGTTGAATTGGTCCATTAAAGAGTCGAAACACGAGAAAACTGCGTTCATCGACGAGACGATATCCATTGCACCCTCGATGGTCGAGTAATCGAAATCGCAGAGCTCGCAGAACAGAACGCTGATCGACTCGAACGACTGTACAGAAACGGGACGTCAAAATGATCTCAATAATTGAAGTATTTTCGGAAAAACGAAACGTTATAATAATTTCACTCTGGCTTTTATTTATGGTCTCGTATTTTCAACGAATATGTCAAATTACATCAGAATTATAGAGAAGCAGCAGTTTTGCATAATCTAAACTGTAAATTAGGTGAATTTGATCCCAGAAACGTAGGAAGGTTGATGTTGGTCTATTTCGAGCCTTGACTTATAATTTATGCAGGATTCTCACTTCACATTATTTTCAATTTCCATTTCCATTAATATTTCCATCTTCATTTCTATTTCCGTCTCCATTTTATATTTTACATTTTACATTTTGCTTTTTGCATTTCACATTTCACATTTTGCATTTTGCATTTTACATTTTACATTTTACATTTCACATTTTTCACATTTTTCACATTTTTCACATTTTTCACATTTCACATTTCACACTTTTTACATTTTTCACATTTCACATTTCACATTTTCCACATTTCACATTTTACATCCAACATTCTATATTTTACACTTATTCACTTATTTCAGCTTTCACACTAACTTTTTTATCTACTAATATGCTATGCATATGCAAACTTTATATTATGATTACAAGATTACCAGAATCCGAAAAATTTGTTCCTCATACCTCGCAGGTGCTCAAAGGGCACGCACCAGCTCGCAAACGGTCGGCTACAGTCTGCGGGATCATAGAATACAAAAGCTCGTCGCTTTTGTTTTTCCAACGGTCCAGCAGCGCGTAGCTGTTCTCCAATTCTGCTGACCTTTGTTCCGCTCGCTCGAACATCATCTCCAATCTAGTGTGAATAACCGGGAAAGAAACATTGATGGAAATGGCAACGCGTTAGGAAGATGTAACGGTGCGACGAGTTACTTAATTTCACTAAAAATTGAAAAACGATACTGTACCTTCCGCAATGCTGCCATCCCGCTAAAACCAATTCTCGACTCAGACCATGGGGATTTAAATCGTTCAAGTATAGACCCATGTTCAGAAGCTCGTCCAAACTGTTAATTCTGTTAAATTGTATTTTTATTATAAACGTTTCAAAAAACATTAAGTTTCCGAAGTAGAATTAGACGTAGAATTAGAAAATCATTGGAAAATTTAATAATTTGTAAATTTTTCAAATAATTTGTAATTCAATAATTTAATTACTCCTAATAAATTACTCCTGTTTGAAAAATAAAACTTCGTACTTTTTATCTATCAGAAGTCCATTTACAGAGTTTTCTACGATTGTGCTACATTAAAAAGAAGTTTAAAGATCTCGTTTCAAATAGCAGTGTTATGTCGCCAGCAATAATAAATTTTTCAAAAGTTGAATTATTGAAACTAGGTATAATGTGTTAAATATAGCGTTGAATTTATATCTATTATATCATTGATACAAATTATGGTGTTCAATATCTTCGGCGACCCCACTTTTTTCGAATAATGGCGACCGAATCGAAAGGCAAAAGTTAATCAAGCTTTGGCTACAATACACAGATCGTAACTTTATTGCGAATCGACGTATCGCGTCGGTCATGGGCTCATTTTAAACAGCGAACTCCGCACTTTCCCGACCTGTCGATTATTTTGGTCTAGAATCTATCTGCCATTAGCATCGTTATCGTAACAATGTTCGATTTTTGCCAAAAATTCATCTTCGTACATCTCTAGGAAACAAATTTATTTCGCAAATTTATTTCGCGATCCAAATCATCGTGGCCTTGAGAGAACGAAATCTCCTCCTTTGAGCCTCGATGAGCCCGAAAACATAAATATTTAAGTAGAACTGCTCTGTTTCATACTTACAGCGGGCTACACAAGAAAATGATCGCCTTAATGTCGTCCAAGTACCTCATCTGACCCTTCAACAAAATACTTCTGGCTCCCTGGCTGCCTCGTCTGTCCAAACTCGAGCTTGTACTTGCATTATTGTCTGTGCTCGACGACGTGTTCCCATTGATCGATCGAATTAGTTCTAATTCAAACATCACCGAATGCAAATACATTACCTGCGCAGGTGTACGGACATCGTTATTTTGATCGGCGATTTCACGATTACATCGATTAAGTTGTCAGTATACATATGGTATAAGGATGCCGCATACTAAAACGCAATCAACTGTGAAAGTGTAGTTTCTGCGTGCGTACGTTACCGTTGGAAAGTTAATATCAGAATGATTGGAATCAAAAATATATTGCAGCGTTCGTCGTATTACACGTGAATCAGTTTATGAAATGTCACGGTTAACTTTTTAGCGAAATGAAAAGCGAGACTCCGGCTAACTTTCTTAATATGAAAATCTACAATTGTTGGTGAAAGTATAAAGTACATACGTGCGCAAAAGTGAAGTAATGCTTCACCTTTCTTTCAATATTGGCATATGCCGATCGAAAGTGTTACATTGAAGTATTGAAAAAGAAAATCGTAGAAAGTGTACAGTTCGCATCGATTACGCAAATATAATACACATTTACCGTGCTGATTTTTATGCAAGATACAAATTGTCTACGTCGTCGAACAGCGAGAAATTGAAGCTTGACAAGAGTAGAACGGCAAGTTCTTTCTTTGCAAAATAATTTTAATCGATTGGAAAAAACAATACATTGGCATCTCCAAATTCTTTCGATCTCTTCAAAGCAAAGCGGCGACTCAATATCTTTGCATAAAACGTGCCCTTACATTGCCCCACGTAAAAGAAATCCCTTTCGGCCTGCGCAGCTTGAAGATTTCTGTGATGTGCTTATTCAGAATGGATGTGTTGCCACCCCAGGCCTGCAACAATTTTTCACCACTCCCCAGTACTCGCATGTCTTTGTTTATCACGACTCCGAAAGGGAAAAGCCGTAACAGAAACGTGCAGGACACCGGTGCTAATTCTTTTCCCAGCGGTGTTCTCATTCTGCTGTCTTTCGCGATCTAAAAAGCTCAAATTGTATTTGTCATGCGGCGGATTTCTATGCAGATAAAAATTCGGCAAGTAAATTGTGAGAAACAGACTCGAAAGATAATGTACACTTTCCTTCTTTAATAATTTTAGTAAGTCGCGACCTTTCGATTCTGTATTCGAATTACAGTAAATTCTTCCTAGAATGCCAAATTTCGGGTTACTGTGAATTTCTCTGTGCTAGTTCGACGCCTGTGCAATCTATTGCTACGTCGAAATGGACGATTTGGGAAGAGGAGATACGATTATTCGCGCCTCGTATCTCGTTTTTATAGTCGCTGATTGTTAATATCTATAAAAACGAGCCGCGAGGTTCGAATAATCGTGTCCGACTGTCTGGCGATTACCATTTTCAATTCCGAGCTCCGATCCTTCTAGGGAGACTTTACTGTACTCATTTTTGTCACAAATGCATCAAATCTGTCGTCCAATTACAACCAGTCGAACGAAATACTTTTAATTAGCTTTTTACGTTTATTAAAAGCATCGCGAACGGTTCATTTGTCACAAACGTCAATTAAACATTATTTTATTTCGAAACTTCGAAATTCGTTCACCGCAATAATATCGATGAACAGTTGTAGTAACATCATAACATGGTTACTTACATAATCACGATTGTCAAAATCGATTCTAAATTTAACCATCACACTCCTGGAGCCCGGTATATTGTTTGAACTTTCTAGTACCCTAATGTTCAATTTCGTTTTGTAAAGCTCTTCCGCTATTTGAAATAGTTGACCTATACGAAAGACAGGGGACGAACTTTTACGAAATTGTTATGCCAAGCTTGGTTGTTTCATAAATATATTTAGTGAACGAAATGAATTTCATAAAGTTTATTTTCGTATCGAACGTACGAAATACTACTAAGCCAAATACTAAGCCAAACTAAGTTATGACTGAAAATGTAGAATAAGCTCTAGTTAAGATCAACGCATCTTACCCATGAAATAATGTGTGAAACCTTGCCTAGTGCTCCGATAGACCAACACTACGCCCTCCTTGTCGACGTGCGTGGTGTACATCGACGGGCTTTTCATTTTCGGATACGTGAATCTCATTTGCATATGGATGTTGTCGACGCTTTGTAAAAAGTCGCAGAAATAACGACCGGTCGCTTTTATCGTGCAAACGTACCTGCAAAAATAACAAAACCGTTCCGCCGTCTGCTGGCAAGTACATACATTTGTTTTCTGTTTCTGGACGGTCCGACGACGTTTAAACGCGTGCACCACTGTGCACGACAACTATAAAATTACATGAAGCGACTTATTAACATACGTAGTTTTGTATCAAGTTGTAAAAATATATGTTGATCGAAAAACAATTGTAAGAATATAATTTGCTTTGCGAATTATATTTTTAAGATATTCTGCATAAAATTGTAAAGGTATAATTCACTTTACAAACAATTTTTAAGATATTCTGCATAATATTGTGAGGACATAATTCACTTTACAAGCAATTTTTAAGATATTCTGCATAATATTGTGAGGACATAATTCACTTTACAAACAATTATGACGATATTCTGTATAAAATTGTGAGAATGTAATATAATTTACAAGCAATTTTCAAGGTGATTCTGTACACAATTTTAAGAATATAATTTACATTACAAACAATTAATATTTCACGTGTCGTTAAATTCTTCGTGATTTCATGTTACTTTTTCCTGATTCGATGGGATCCGGATTTATTTCTCAAATAAACAATTTTAGTTATTTCTCAGTACAGTTAAATATGAAAAACGATCTCGAATGATTTTGTCGTCTCCGTAATATCGCAGCACTGTTTTACGAATTAATAATAATCGTGTAGAACGTCTGCTCCACTTTACGTTCGTATAATTGTCTCCCTCGAGACAGAAAAAGCTGATACGATCGGGTTACACCTGACCCTTATCGCTTCAGCCACACGAAGTATTAAGTAATTGAGGCAATCGCATAAATCGCCTGTAAGAAATTCTCGTGTATGGCACAGATTAAAAACACCAACGGAACGTTTCGTTTAATTTGTCTGAAAGCATGTATCTATGCGCCTTTAATTACCCGAAAATGCAAATCGAGTATTCAATCGTAGCTAATGAGACTGATAATCAAATGGAACGTCGAATGAACCGTGGCCGTGCCATGTCAAAAAATAAGTCGAAAGAAAGAATAGAATAGAAAAGAAAAGAAAAGAAAAGAAAAGAAAAGAAAAGAAAAGGAAAGAAAAGAAGAGAAAAGAAAAGAAAAGAAAAGAAAAGAAGAGAAGAGAAGAGAAGAGAAGAGAAGAGAAGAGAAGAGAAGAGAAAGGAAAGGAAAAGAAAAGAAAGGAAAAGAAAAGAAAAGAAAAGAAAAGAAAAGAAAAGAAAAGAATAATACTTTTTCAATTAAGGCTCCGTTTTCGAGAAGAAGTATGTCGAAGAAATAATTATAATAATAATTCAATAGGAATCAAGTTCACGTCTGCTTCTCGTTATACTACAAGCCACGCTATAAGCCAAGCAATAAAGAGAAGAAAATACTGTGGAGCGCAAAGGGTTAATTTAGCGTTGACACAGAGATTTTAGCGAAATATTGGTGGAAATTGGTAGATACGTACCCTAAGTTGCTAAAGAATCTTACGAAACATTTGCCGAAGAATCGCATCACATTGTCTACCGAGTCGCCGTTCAATGCTGCCAATGCAGCTGCCAGATTAGTCATAAGCTCGTCAGGGTATATTTGCCGTGTGTTGAAAACCATATGCTTGCAGTCAGCTTTCTCCAAGATTTGAAGCCACACTTCTTCGCCATATTCTAGCTGCAGCAGAAAGCTTAACTTCAATAGTAGAACATCGTCTAAAACTATTGCATTGTCGCATGATTACTGTCGTATCATCGGCTAAAATTGAAACAATTGAAATTTCTGGAGGCATTTACTTAATTGACGATAGGGTAGATGTTCCAGTTTCTGTACCCCCGGATTAAAAACGTGTAGAAAAAGAAACGTTTTATACAGAGTGTTCGATTTTGATTTATAAATCAAAATAACTGGTTAATTGCGCACTGCATAAGAAATGTTTTCCACAGAAATTAAATAGTTTCGAGGGGGCTACAAGATGACATAACTCATGTTTCAATGAATCATATAATTTTGAATACACTTACCGGTTCGGTCCATCGTTCCTGACAAAAAAATATTAGATTTCACATTTAAAAAGATTATTAGTTTACGAGATATTTAAGGACAAATATTGCGAGGTCGCACGGAAAATTATTCGGTAAAGTCAGTGTCACATTAACACTAGATTTACGGAGCACAAAAAACAGTTGTTTTATATTAGTTTATAAAAGTAACAATAAGACATTTATTCTGACTTTTTAACAAGCGTTATTGTAACATTTAAATGACTGTAAGTAACATATAAATTGAATAAATAACTCATAAATGTATCTTTACGATGCGAATAATCGTAAATTAAAAAATGTGTGTTTAAGGTACATGTCTGAACAAACAATCATATGGATTTTAGTTACATTGGGTGCGTTTCCTGAAAACGGAAGACGTTTGATCCATCGTGTGTTAAATAATTGCCGATTTCTGTTTCATAAAATGTGTCTGGTTGTTAATGCACAAGTAAACTACAGTGTAGTAATAATATAATTTCATGGTTTAGTATTGATTTTGTTGTCGCATGTATAGTGCACATGCGTAAATTCGTAAATGAGAATGCGCAATTCGTCAACGAATTTGTCTTTTAAACGAGTTTGATCCCTCGCGTCACACCGCGCACGCAAAAATGAATGTAATCGTGGACACAGATACATTAATAACGTTAGTTTGTGAACACCGATATTTATGGGACTTAAAAATTAAAGAATACCATAACCTATATTTAGCTCAAATAAAATGGGAGAAGATTGGTCGAGAAATGGACACCAATAGTAAATTATATTTACAATAATGTAGATATTTAAATCATTATTATTATTCACATTGTACAATATACAGCTTAATAGTTGTCAGAAGTTCGAATTTAAGTGGTAAAATCATTTTTGTCAATTTGTATCGAGGAAGCTGCGTAGCAGTGTTCCTCTAAATACATAAGTATATATATAATATATATAATATATATAAATATATATAAATATATATAATATATATAATATATATAATATATATAATATATATAAATATATATAATATATAATATATAAATAATATATATAATATCTACATCCGAAAGAAATATTGAGGACATTGAATTAATATTGTTCAACA